GGTTATGATGAAGTGGCAGAGGATGTAGAGGCTGGCGAAGAGCAGGGCACAGATCTGAGGGCAGAGGAGCATGGGAAGCACAGGCAGACCCAGAGGGCAGCGCTCCTACTCCAGCTCCCACCCTGGGCGATGCCCCGGGGCCCGTCGGCTCCACCCTATTTGTTTTTCCACTCCTGGCCCTGGTTACACCCCACCTGTGTGCTCAGCCCCGTCCATGCACGGGGGCTACACCCAGGGCTCACCCACAGGTGCCCACAGAATGCCACAGCACCCAGGCCAGAGGAGCTGAGGACTCTTGCAGCAGCTCTGGGCCAGCCTGTGCTGGCAGAGCTGGAGATGACACCCCGTGGGACACCCCTGATCCCACAGCCCTCGCTCTGCTGGCACCGGCCCCCGGCAGAGCCGCGGGAACAGCCTTGAATGAGGCACCAAGGCCGGCCGTGCTGTCCCTCCCGCCCCCGGAGCGCCGAGGTCAGGCCGGAGCAGATGATGTTCAGGGAACACGACGACCTTTCATCCCGCCGGGGACGCGGCAGGGCGGGGAAAGGTCGCCCGAACCCTCCACCTTGGCACAGGAGGGGCCAAGGCACCTCCCTCCTGCCTGGCCTGGGGGGACTCGGTGGGCTGGGGGTCCCCAGGATCTGCCCCCAGAACTGGCCCAGCCCTGGCCCCCCCCTCAAAGAGCAGTGTCCAGCGGGTCCTTCTGCTCCTGCTTCCAGCCAGCAAAGGGGCTCAGATCACAGGTCCCCTCCTGCCATGGGCTGTACCCCAAAGCACAATGCTCTGCCTGGCTGAGGGACCCCCAGCACCTCCTGCTCCCAGTGGAATCGAGCCGAGCGAGGGGCTCCTGGTGAGATGTGGTTCCCCAGGATAGAGGTCTGGGAGTCCCAGAGCAGGGATGTTGGGCTTGGGCCACCAGGTCCTCTCTGTAGGCACTGAATTTGGCTGTGGCAAGATGGCCCTGGCACTACTGGTCACAGCCCCCCCTGGTCACCCTGCATGCAGCATCCTGAGGATCCTTGGGCGATGCCAGGATCAGGAGACCCGAGTCATCATCACCCCTGAGCCTGCGGTGGCAGAAACAGAGAAACAGACCCATCTGCCTCCCTTACCGGGGCCCAAGGGTTAGGGGGCTCTGCAGGGCCCCTTCCCACTGACACCGAGCTGCTGGGGACAGGGACAGAGCCAGGAGCCTGGCACAGGGCTGGCCCGGCTCTGACACCAGCACTCCCGGCCCCCCCAGCGCGGCAGGATCCCAGCCGGGATTGCTGGGGCTGGCAGAGGGTTCGAGGTGGGGGCTCAGCCGGACTCAGCCTCGGGACCCCGCTATCTGTGGGGCACACGCAGCCACTGCGGCCCTGGCACCGATAAGGACCGGGCGTGGGCACCGCCACAGCCGGGCCCCACAGCGGCCGCCGGGGATCCCGGCCCTACCGAGGGGGGCTGCGAGCTCTCAGACCCCTCCCCACCACACCGGCCCCCTTCCCCCTCCCACCGCCCGTCACCGCGACCCGCGGGGGCACTTACGATGCATTCGCGGACCCTCTCGTGGAAGAGCTGCTCCCGCAGGGCCAACGCGTCCTGCTCCGGAGGGGCCATACTGCGGCCAGCATGGCCGGGCCGGGCGGGGCTGCTGCGGGCCGGGCCGGGACAGGCGCTGCGGTGCCAACGCTCCCGGACAGGCTCTCCGGTGTCACCGCTCCGGGCCGGGCTCTCCGGTATCACCGGGAAACGACGCTCGGAGCCCGCCGGGTCTGGCCCCGCCCCCTCGGCCCCGCCCCCGGCCGGGCCCCGCTACAATGTATCCGCTCCCCCGGCATGAACGGGGCCGGCCGGCCCCGCCCCCTGCCGCTCATTGGCTCCGGGCCTTGAATGAGGCGCCGTTCATTGGTCGGCGGGCGGAGCGCCGCGCGCTGATAGGCTGAGCGCCCGCGGGCCGCTCCCACGGGGCAGCGGCCCCAGAGAAGCCCCCCGGGATTAACCGCGGGGATGGAGCTAATCCCGGGACACGGCTAATCCCGGGCAGGTTAATCCCGCAGGGGCCCGTGGGGGAAGGGCAGGGCTCGCCAGCGCTGGGGGCACGGGGCAGGGTAGGGGAGGGCAACCCCTCCTCACAGAGGAGCCCAGCATCACCCAGGGTGACCCCCAATATGTAGCACCCAGTGATAGGGGGGCTTTGCCCCCCAGGGAGGAGAACAGGCAAAGAGCTGCTCAGTGCCAGCTCGGGCAGGAGCAATGCCATGCCAGCCGCTTCACTGGGCACAGACAATAGGGACAGTCTGTTCCCATGGGACGGGGCCAGCCGGCCCAGGCGAGAGCAGGCGCTGACACAGAGGGTTTGTATCCGACACAGTGGAGCTTCTCTTAAAGCCTTTTATTCACAGACACATGGAAAATCTGCATGATCACATCAGAAAGGACAGCACACCCCAAAACGCACCCAGTGCACAAGGAAGCTCAAGTGTTTGAAGCGGACATTTTGTGAACATGCGACAGCGACAGAAGGAACCCAACGTTTAGTATTCCTCCCCTTCCTCCTCTCCCTCCCCTTCCACAGAATCCACCCCCACCTCCTCGTAATCCTTCTCCAGGGCAGCCATATCCTCCCGGGCCTCCGAGAACTCCCCCTCCTCCATGCCCTCCCCCACGTACCAGTGCACAAACGCCCGCTTGGCGTACATCAGGTCAAACTTGTGGTCCAGGCGGGCCCAGGCCTCGGCGATGGCCGTGGTGTTGCTCAGCATGCACACGGCCCTCTGCACCTTGGCCAGGTCCCCCCCGGGCACCACCGTGGGCGGCTGGTAGTTGATGCCCACCTTGAAGCCGGTGGGGCACCAGTCCACGAACTGGATGCTACGCTTGGTCTTGATGGTGGCGATGGCGGCGTTGACGTCCTTGGGCACCACGTCCCCGCGGTACAGCAGGCAGCACGCCATGTACTTGCCGTGCCGGGGGTCGCACTTCACCATCTGGTTGGCCGGCTCGAAGCAGGCGTTGGTGATCTCGGCCACCGAC